CTAGGACATTATCTTAACACGATCAATTTTAATTCGTGGCTGGCTTCAATATCTTTGGTTTTTGTCAGAACATATGGCTTTTGTGAGAAACTCTATTAACTGGACCGACGACACGTCAATGTTCCCAACGAAATCTATTAATTCGCCGGTAAGTATGTATTCTTTTAGCTTGTAACATTTTAGAAATTGTGATAAATTTCGACCAAAAATAAAATAAAATAAAAAAATTGTGATAAATCTTTTCTAACACAATTTTATTCTACGTTCCAACAGATGTATCAAGTATCACTTGATGCAGATTACGTTAATTGTAGCCGTTTCACTTACTGTTATGATGATATGATTTTTTCACAGGTTGGTTTTAGTTGGTTGGTTAGTGAACTACATACAATGGTGCAAATTATAATTAAAATATACACTTAACAATACTTATCTTATTTGCAGATTGATGACTATGGGATAGTGATGTGGCAAATGCAGTCTAATGAAAAGCCACATATTATGAAAAAACTTCCTGTTCCAGAAAGTGGACCCCCATGCAAGTTTTCGCATGACTTTGGGAATAAAGTTGCAATGGGTAAGAAAATAAAATAATAGTGAATGCAATTTATATAATATAGGGATATATGGAGTATATTTTAGGACTAATTTGGTTTGGTTATTCATCATGCAGGGAACAAGAAAGGGCAAATATATGTCTGGGATTGCCAAAGTAACCCTCCTGAATTGATTGCAATGTAATTAAGTACATTAAAAAAAACATTAGTGAATTTCACAAATGCTAAATTGGATTTGATCTTCATTAGTCTTGATATGATTTTGTTTTGCAAATAATTTACCAGATTCTCGTTCAAAAACACCGGTAATACAGACTGCGATGAGTCTTGATGGAAGGTATATACATGTGCAACTATTGAATTTTGATGATATCTAGGATTTAATAACATTATAAATCTGATAATTTACTTTTCTTTCTTTATTTATTGGCATTTAATCTTTAGGAAAATTTTCAGCATCGACGAGGAAGGAATCGTTATTCGTTGGACCGACGAAACTTTGAACGCAGTGTAAGAAGACTTTACATAAGTTGAGACAAGTCGAGAAGACGGGTTGTTTTAATTAGGTGTTGTTTTTATATTTGGAATAAAATGTCAAGTCGTTTATCTATCCCAACAAGTGTCATGTTGAAGATTAACCTAATGTCTATCACAAGAAAATCGTAAACTCAAACAAAAACAAACTCTTGGTCGAAAGAGAATGGTTGAGTATTTATATATTTTTAATTTCAAGTTTATTTGTTTTAGTAATGGTGTGCATCATTCAAAAGAATCAATCAGTAAATTGTCTTGGGCTGTATCAGGCAACAATGTTCTCGGCCCTAACAACAAAAGTCTCCCATGTGATAGCAACATGATGCATAGAAGTGCCTGATTATTATAGTAAGACATTATGTAAGTAGATTGTTCTATTTATATTTGAGATTTCAACTTTCATTAAGAACTAAGAAGATAATAGTGACAACAGATCTCAAATAAAACAAAAAAACAAATATTCATAAAAACAATATATTTATATAACATAAATCTGTTTGACCAAACCATGTATATATTTTTCTGTCAAAATTCAATTCTGCAATTATTTTGCATAACGAGATTTTGCAATCTCTCGATGAAGAAATTTGCAAGATTGGACAATTTTACCATTTTGATCCAATTGCTATTTCATGGTTTTACATATTTCTCGAATAGTCTCATTGCCTATTCAGAGTGGATGACACAATCAATAAAGTGAGATTAAAACTTTACTTTTATATACAACCATTCACCATCTAAAATGATAATCATTCACATTTATTCCATAAATGTAATTTATCAATTTAAGTTTTTGATTATATACTACTATTTTCTGATAATTTATTTATTTTGAGTTAAAAATGTTATCAGTTGATTGTCCTTAGATATTCACACATAC